ATGAAGAATCTTGACATTATGTAATTATAACTATTGTTTCTGTTAGACAACCCACTAGTTCTCTTCATGTCTTCATATATATATGGTAAATATATCTGTCTATAAAAAAATATCTATTCAAACATTTTTTGTTCCCTTGTACTTTTCCCTTTATTTTACGAGTTCCTAATAGCAAGCTTATAGTTGCCGAGGTGAATTATGCTTGTAAGTATTGAAATAGACTATACTTAATTTTGTCCAGGTAAATACAGGTAGCTACAGGTAATGTGTTTTTTAAGATGTTGACTGAGCGGGAATCTGCCCAAGTGTCGTTATAACGTTGTGCAAACCGGATCAAAATGCAGACTGCCGGTTGGTCACCATTGTAATTTACGTTAGAACGTTAAAAAAGCTACACTTGTTTAATTCTTTTAATTTATTTGCAACAAATGCGAATAGCATACAGGATTACACGATTATCATATATTACATTTCACTACAGCAAGATGGCGGAGGACATTACGACATTATCAACATACACGTACCAATGAAAATATACAGTGATCGTTCGCAGCATTAAGCTAGAAAATATACCATTTGATTCAAGAAGAAGCTTTAATCAAATATTTACTAAGATTTCTCAATATTGCAGGACTTCAGTTGTATTAATTTGGAGACAGACGGACAACGGAAGTAATATGTTTGATATATTTGATTCTGAACTTTGAATAAACTGGACATAATAACATGAAATGAGTTTTATCCTCGATGTCATTACTATTACAAAGAGGACAATACCTTTGGGCTCTGGAGATATCGTTGTATCTGTCCTATACTTAATGTGTGGGATGGTAACCGGTACTTACTGGGGACACTTTTATACTTATCAGTGAGAGATTTAGTGAGGTAAAACTGCACATCGTAATGATCAACAAAGTGTCTATAAAAACGACATTTGGAAAAAAATTTCTAGAATGTTTCTCACCTCTTGAATAAATCTTTCACACGTTGGGTGTATAAGAACACAAACTATTTTTCACTGAATCTGAACAGATTAAACAAACATCATAACAGCATGTTCTACATAGTTCCTGTTTCACTTGGTAAACAAAATTGGTTTTACAATTGGGTTAATTCGAATTCAATTCGACAAGATTCTCGTGACAAGATCTCAAAATGCAATTATTAGTACTAAATAACTTTAACCAGTACTTTTTAATTGATATTTTACGTTTTTTTGTAAAGGAAATCGCCTTAATTCTAAGTAATCCATAGAATTATTCATATTTTTTTTAACTCCAAGAACTTTCTTCAATAAAATGTACTTTTTTTCAATTTGGGCGTACAAAAACAAGTGAACAAGCATATTCTGCAGATCGACTACGTCTTCAGAAAACAAGACCGTGTCGTCCGCGAACAAAATTATACAAAAGGTTTAGCAACTGTAATCGGTAACTCTGACGAGTTGAAATGATAAGTTTGGACACCATATCAATGATGAACAATGAAAATAAAATCGGAGATAAAGATTTCCCTTTTAATAATCCGATCCGGAGGTCGTACATGGAAGATATAGTACCATTTAATTTTACACAAGATTTAACATTATCATATATAGATCTTATTGCATTTAGTAGTCGACCTCTAATACCCGACTTCCATAGTTTGGACCATAATTTATCAAGCGATATGCTATCGAAAGCCTTTTGTAATCCACATAAACACAATACAGTCGTTTATTTTACTACTTTGTAAAGTTTTAGTAATGAAGGTATTTAGAACAAATGTTGCATTCCGTATACCGATTCCGGGTCGAAAACCAGACTGAGCGTCAGAAATAACATCTTCTTTTTCGCTCCGTGACAATAAACGTCTATTGAGGAGGGACGTGAAAAGCTTAGTTATTTGATCCAACTTTTATCAATATATCTTGTCTCGCACGAGTGCGCGAGGGATCTTACCTTAACACCCATTGCCCCTTGAATATCAGGTGACTTACGATATAGATGTCTCGGCTGTCTGGCTCCCTAAAACCGGAGTTTGTGTGTGGATATTGAGAAATTCTCTTTCACATTTTTTTACTGGAGGTAAACAGCCAACATCATTTGCGTGACTTCGAGATTTGAGTACCGAGTTTAGGTTTCAAACACTTCTGGAGGTAGGAAGGCGTGGGCGTTTTAATACGATTTTACACGAATGTTAGCCTATTCTATAATTCTGCATGTCAAATTTTATGGAATACGCGATCACATCCTGTGCATTTTTGACTGAGATGGTCTTTTGAACTACTTCTATTCAAATAAATATATATTATCTTATTTCAAAAGAAAACAAATCAAATCAGTATCCATATGACACCGACTATCAAAATCAATAAAACATATTGTCTAATTTCCTGTAGGAACAAAGAGTTGTGATGCTCTTGAATTTGACGTGATTTTTTTTACGCTGAAATGACGTCATTTCCGCCATATTCGTTTTGACGTATGCGTCCTTGTAAACTTAGCTATGGCAACGTTTCGCTCCCAAAGAACACAGAAGGATAGGGAAATCAAAAAGATTATTGATCAAATAAGACGAGAATACAATGTATACAGGTAAAATGATATTAAACAAGATAATTACTTAACGTAACTTTAAGCAAAACTTACGTTATACATTGAAATTGTCAGTGTAAAGTTTAGGTGATTCTCTTGACAGAGCAGACTCGCACGATGTATTGACGTGGATATAATCAAATATTATTAATTACATTTTTTTCTTATAAGTAAAGAAATTTAAAAGGTTGCTAAACGTTATTCTTCGAGAGAAATCAGCTGGGACGGAAATGGAAAAGGAGTGGGAAGAGAAAAGAAATAGCCTACTTCAAATGGTCTCCTTTTCGCTTCAGTTTCGGAGTACCGTACTAATCGTATCTCGGTAGCAACGCTACGTCGATGGTTTGTATTCAAACATATACATAAATAAATTGAAATGTTTTCATACTTTAAAATGTATTCATGAAAATGATCAGTGAAACACTAGTAATTTTCTTAAAGATATCCACAAATACCGCCTCAAATTCGCTCGCCTGCAATGACAGACATATGTATAGGAAACTTGCCAACACCTCCGTTTCTGGCGACATCACTGAATCACAGAAACGCTGGAGTTAGCCTTACAGTGGCCCAGAAGTGAACACTGAATCGGAACACATCCAGATCGGTTTATATACACAAGTCAATGCCTTGCAGACACAAACTAGTCCGATCAATGTGAAATTTGAACGAAAGATCAACTGAAAGGAAATTTACTGTATGTATATATACAGGAAAATAAACAACAAGACCTTATGAAAATAGTAATAGTATAATAAAATAATAATAAAAAGTAAATTTCAAAAACAAAAATGAAAACAAAACAAAAAACAAATACGAAAAATCATTTTAGGCAGCCATTCTAGTTAATATGTATAAATGAACTGATCATAAAGCGTGTAAATTCCATATCAGTTTTGAAGAAAACTTTGTAAAAAAGTCGCGGACTACAGTATAGTTTCGTTTTAAATGTGAAATATTTAGCAATTTGGTACCTTTCAAATGCTTGTAAAGGTCAAATAAGTGTCTGGTTTGCCGTATACGACCCTGCAGAACGAAAAAAAAAACATCTGTTTGCTTTAATGATATAATGAAAAGTATTAGAAATGCAAGGGGCGGAGGACACACAAGCTTTGAAGATCGTGTACATCATGTCATTTTTTTTTTCTTATCATTTTTATTTAACAACTTCAACTCAGTTGAGATATGCCTACAAAATAAAACATTAATTATTCGTAAGTTGAATGGCAAAATTAATTTTCGGGAAAAGTTCATTATTAGCATGTAAAAATATATTCAATTACAAAAATAATTCGAGTCATGGTTTGTAAACGAGTTATCGCCCTTGTGGCGCTAGAGTCGTCGCTCCGCATCATTCATTGGTTGATCCCACAGGAAAGAGGTAAATTCGAAACGCAAGCCAGGTGGTGTTTACAGGGAGGAATTTAGGCCGTGAACAAGAAAGTTATCACATATAATGACAAGAAATCAGTAGAATCTTATAAAATGAAACCACAGTGAGTATTCTAACTTCATATAAATCTTTTCATTTAGCTGTTTTGAATTTGTGGGAGATCGCTCGTGAGATTATTATGCTGTTGCGTATTCGCGCTCATTATGACACTGGTGTCTATTTTGATGATCACCAAGTACAGATGATGGCAGAAGTAGGATATAACCATCGTAACTGAAATTCGTTACCGATTCGTCAATATTTCTCTGTGATTACATTTCAATATGATTTCATAAGGACAAAAACTCCTTACTCATAATACTCATCCGGATTTCCGTTTTGTTTTGATATTATGCAGTATTTCCTGGATGTCGTTGTACGATTTTGATTTCATGGGATCTTACTTCTTCACAAATTGAACAATACGTCGCCATTCAAATCCGACAGGTGATTGCCATTGTTTCGAATTCTTGACAAGCTAATGTGAGAACCGTAAAGAATACTGGTTTTGAATTTAAGGAACTGATTTATTGTTTACATACACGTTTCATTTCTGTTTAAACCTAGGCGAGGAAAAACACCAAAAAAGAAGAATGCAACACAAACAGATCCAGTCGAGGTAAACAAATTGTTTTCGAAAGCATGTACATTAACAAATATGTTTTTGAAATGGTAATGTTGATGTTAAACAGCTGTGAATTTTGAGCCGATGATTTATGAGTTTCCATTTTGTGAAAATAGGATATTTTGTACGAAAAAAGTCTTCTATAAAAAAACATTTATGGCACTTGTTCAAACAACCAATAATTTATCACTAGGTATTTTCACAATCAAATGAAATGAAAAAAATACTGCATGTATAACTTCAATATGTAATATATAGCACAATATACATCCTAATGACAGAGTTTTAGTGTTTGACAGCCAGAAATTTAAACACATCTGAGCTTCTATTATTTTTTTGTTCACATGATTTTGATTTCTGTAGGTATACTGTCGGATACGTCCCCTAGACAATCCTGATGATCCTACTTGTATCAAAGCTCTCGACAATGCAGTTGTCCAACTTCTACCTCCACAGGTTCGTATTTATAGATTACAAAATTTGCTCAGATCATTAAAATAATTTTAAAAAGTTAACAACCAAATAATAGTTTTGATACTGACTAGTTTGCACAGTAAGTAAAAATAAGTAAGAAAAGAAGGTATAAATTTAAAAATATAATTGAAAGACTTTTATTTGTTCAAAGAGAATATTTAAGCTGAAGTGTTCATCATTTTCTTTTTATCAGATATCAGATTTCCTGGCAAATCTTTCAGCTTTGATCTGACAGTTTAATAATTTGTTTTTGTTACAGTTACAGTTTTAGATGTTAACATTCAATCTGTTCAAAACCAATATGTTATTTGAAATAATAAAAAATATCTAGTATAGTAAATATTTTCCTTTCTCAGAACACAGAAAGGGTGACAAGGAATGGGCAAGTGAAGGAGGTAAGATATATAAACAGTATTGATTCTCCCCCAAATTTCTATGTTTCATCTTAAACTTTGAATACTCAGACAGTCTGAGACATACAGGATTTACACATGTTTACACAGTCTGAGACGTACCGGATTTACGCATGTTTACACAGTATAAGACATACAGGATTTACGCATGTTTACACAGTATGAGACATACAGGATTTATGCATGTTTACACAGTCTGAAACATACAGGATTTATGCATGTTTACACAGTCTGAAACATACAGGATTGACGCATGTTTACACAGTCTGAGACATACAGGATTTACATCATTTTACACAGACAGTCTGAGACATACAGGATTTACATCATTTTACACAGACAGTCTGAGACATACAGGATTTACATCATTTTACACAGACAGTCTGAGACATATAAATAAACAAGTCTTCAGATCATTTATTTTTTATTTTACCTCTAGTGTGGTAAAATTATGTGTGTGGAGGTTGACGGAGATATGTAAAAAGAAAAAGATAGGTTGTGATAAGTTTCACTTTAGAATCTCATGAAATGGAAGTGAGAGTATGATGATTCTGTTTATCACATAACTTAGATTCTTCAGTAAGCTTTTCTGAAGAGAGTGTTTGATTGATAGACTTAAATAGAATTGAAAATATTTCTAACCCATGTCTATTTCTTTGTTGATGTCACGATAGAACAATGGAAATCTTAATCCAGTCACAGTTCATATTAAACTTATAACAAGCAATACTAATGTTACACATTTACTGTTCCGCATGAATGAAACTGCCACTGCCAGTACTTACCAGATCTGAACATCACTCTCCAATCTTGTATCAAAAACCTGTAATACAGTATGTTGTTGAATTAACTCTGGTGTGCAATGTTTTTTCTTTGCCCTATTTTACGATCGAAACAAAGTTGTCAACATGAAGATAAAACCAAGAATGTATTTGCCATTGTTCTGAAAATCATACTGTATTTTCCCAATTCAATAAAACACAGGCTGCTGTAACAGAGTAGAAAAAAAACTTTTGTGTAAGATTGTCTTTGTTAGTCTTTGGAATATCACTTTTATTTGATATTTTCCAGTACCAGTACACATTTCAGTATGTGTTTGATGAGTATGCATCACAGAAAAAAATATTTGACTATGTGGCGATGCCACTGGTGGACGACCTCATTCACGGTAAAAACGGTAAGTGGTACAAGGGATAGCTTTGTCTTGTTAAAACTTGTTTGAACTTAAAATCGAAGTCTAATAGGTACAGCTTATTTATCAATGACTTGAGCCGAATTAGGGTTAAGGTAATATACTTCTCACACAATCAGGCCCCGATTGTATAAAACATCTCAACTTGAGATTTCCTCAAGTCGAGATTTTCCTAAGCTGATATCTCCTCAAAAACGGCTTGTATAAAATTTTCTCAAGGAACAGGAGGAAGGCATCGACTAGGATGTCATGAAATTCCTTGCGGAATTTTCATACATACAAGATATTTTCAAGGAGATATTAGCTGAGGAAAATCTGGGCTTGAGGAAATCTGCAATTGAGATATTTTATACAAGTGGGGCCTGATACCTATCTTGATAAATGACCCTTTTCACTTTCAGTTCTGCCTTGAAAACCCAGAAATCAGGATTACATTTGTTGTCAAATCTTGCAACATAATTAGGATTTTTTTTTTTTATAATTTTTTATTTTTCAAAGATTTTTCAAAACATAAATGTTTCACTTGCAGCCTTTCAAAGCCACACATGCCCTCACACACCAATACACAGACACGCCATACAATTTAAGGGCCTAACATCATTTTCACTCTAAATTGTACATAACATATCATTATCATTCGCAAAGAATTACATGTATCAAACAAGCACCAATCCTCATCATCATCATCAAACATCAATCATCATAATCATCATCATCAAACATCCAGACTATTAACCAACAGAAAATATAGGTGGCTACGGAATTTGGCCCAGCCCATACCTTCTATGGGATGAGTACACACACACACACTCACACACCCTCTCTCACACGTATATACACACACATCCTCACAAGATCATACACACATTACATATGACAGATGGGAAAGGGTGAGGCGGAGGGGAAGGAAAGAAGGGGCAATGGATTGAAGAGGGAGAAGAGAGAAAGAAACAAGCTGGAGGGCTTTATCAGATACTGTCTATTTTAACATTTACAGTTAATATATAGGTCAAAATGAGGAAAATGAAATAATGGTTGAAATTGTGGTGATGTCAAGGTCAATGGAGAAAGTAGCTCAAGATATAATTTATAAGTCCAAAACAGGTTTCCATTTTTTCCAGTTGTTTTCAAAATTCCTTTTTATGTGACAATTTTTAGAGGAAACAATATATTTTTGTACTCGGAAGTGATCTTTTATTGTATTTATGAGACCATTTAAACTTAGAGTTTTGTGCAGACATCTTGTCTTGTATATATATTGTTTAATAATAATCAAAATTTCATTATCTACTACATTAGCCGTAGGAGAAAGAATACCAAAGAGATAAGTTTCTTTGTTCATCCAAAATGGAATAAAGAAAAGGTTGATTAACGATTCAAATCTCTCTAACAGTGTCTGCACCTCGACACACTCCCACAAACAGTGTATAATTGTCTCCCTTTCCATATTACACAAATTACACAAAGGACTAGGACTTAAATTAATTTTGAAAAGAAAAGAATTTGTGACCAATATACGATGAATAATTCTTGCTTGGAACCACTGAAGTTTTGAGTTTTTAGTGATAGTAAATGGGATTCTTAGAATATTTTTCCTCTTCTGTTCATCAAAATCAAACTCTATCCCCCATTTTTGAATTCCAGTTGGTATTGGTGGTCGTTTAATTAAACAAATATAAAAATCCTTTGAACCTTTTTTACTTTTGAAAAATATTTCATAAAAAAGTGGTATGAAAGGTTGTTGAATCTGTACAACCTGAAGTGTATTCTTCCGTAGAAATTTCTTCATAGATGTAATTAGACCAAAGTACTGCAGATAGTTGGCGTTGATTGTTGGGAAAAGATTACCAAACTCATTAAAAGAATAAAATGTCATGTCTTCATAATTCTTTACAAGGTCATTTATGGTATGTATACCTGCATTAAACCATCTTGGATAAAAAACACATTTATTCCCCACCTGAATGTCTTTATTATACCACAAAGGACTTTTTAAGACAGATGTGATATAACATTGTCTAAAAAGTTCCGAGTTAGTAAGTTTAATCATACTTTTAAATACATCTTTCCAGAATGGATTTCTACAATTTAGGCAACAAGAATTAACATATTCTATCCCACAATTTAACATTTTTTTCTCATCTATAATAGAATTCAATAATATTTTCCATTTCCCTGATGAGTGAAATATTCTTCTGATCCAGCCAAGTTTGAGAGAATCTATGAAAGCTACAATATCTATCATTTTTAATCCCCCGTCTATGTAGTTCTGAATGACCACGTCTTTTTTTATCTTGTGTTGTTTGCCATTCCAGAGGAAATCAAATAAAATAGAGCTCAATTTACCAAGAAAACTGTTGGAAGGATTTGGTAGGGTAATAAATAAATAATTGAACTGGGAAATTAATAAAGATTTTATTATACTGATTCTACCTAAAGGAGTAAGCCTTCGTCTTTCCCACACATTAATAAGAGCCTTTAATTTAACAAGTTTCTTATCGTAATTCATTCCAGGAATTTCACTAAGGTTAACACAAAAATCAATTCCCAAAAAAGTAAACTTATTCTTACCCCAAATTAGATTTAACTCTGGAAGAAAAGCTTCCTCACTATATTTCTTACTTCCTATCCAAATAACCTGTGTCTTACTGGTGTTGATATTTAACCCTGATATCTTAGCAAAAGTATTCAGCTCATTAATAGATTCTTTTAGTGATTTTTCAGTTCCATCCAGAATCAGACCTGTATCATCAGCATATTGCACATTTAAAATAGACACATTATTAATTTGTATACCCTGGATATTTTCATTATTTCTAATTCTTGCAGCTAGAACTTCAACACTTAGTATAAAAATATATGGGGCAACTGGGTCGCCTTGACGACAACCACGCTGAATGTTAATTGGTCTAGAAATGTTACCCCCCTGATTAACCACTGAATAAACATTAGTATGCAGAATTTTTACCCACTTCCTAATATCCACTCCAAAGTTAAAGTAACGAAGAACATTATCAATAAAATCCCAAGAAACTGAGTCAAAAGCTTTTTCAAAGTCGACCATTAGTAACATTCCTGGAATATTCAAATCTTCTGCATAACGCATTACATCATAAATAGTACGGATGTTTTCCCCAATATAACGCCCAGATAAGAATCCCGTCTGATCTTCATGAATAAGTTTTCCTAAAACTGATTTTAACCTATATGAAATTACTCCAGATGCTATTTTATATGTAATGTTCAAGAGAGAGATTGGTCTCCAATTTTTTAAAAAATGACGGGGCTTATCTCCCTTAGGTAAGCAAGTTATAACACCTTGTCTCTGAGTAATTGAGAGAAGGCCCACTGAAAAACTATAATTAATCGAACGAATCACAAAAATACCTATGAAATTCCAAAAAGTTTTAAAAAATTCTGAAGTAAAGCCATCTGAACCCGGACTCTTATTGTTTTTCATATCTTTCAATACCTTTCCTGCCTCCTCAAATGTTATAATACCTTCTAAATTATTGGACTCAGCATCAGTTAACTTAGGGACACTGCAGTCATGGAGATGATGATCCAAATCAATTGGGGTAACTTCTTTATGTTTGTATAAGTTTTCGTAAAATAGTTTAACTTCTTTTAAAATATCATCTTGATTGGTAATTATGTCCCCATTATCTTTCTGAATTTTTGGAATAATTTTAGAAGTAAAGTTTCTGTTTTCAAGATTTAAAAAATACGAAGTTGGTTTCTCCCCTTCCTCCACCCATTTGGCCCTTGACCTAATAATACTGCCCTTTATTTTTTTTGACCGTATTGCTTCAAGTTCTCTTTTTTTAACATCTAATTCTTCCTGGTCAGTGTCTATATTAGCTTCCATAATTTCGATAGATTTCTTTAGGTTTTCTTCTTCAAGGTTCTGTTGTTTCTTTCTATGAGATGCATATGATATTGACTTGCCTCTTATTTCCATTAACAATGTCTCCAAAAACAATTGATCATTAATTAAGAATTGAATTTCTGTATTAGGTAAAAGCGAAACAGAGTTAAGATTATATACAGGTAGGCAATATTGTAATTTTATGTCATCTATACATTTTTTAACCATGTCTAAATAATCTAGTTCAAATAATAATGAGTTATTAAACTTCCAGAGACCTCTTCCTCTTTTAAATTCATTTAATTTTAACGCTATTACTGTAGCCGAATGGTCAGATCTATAACTTGGTTCTATGAAAGATTTTCTTGTACTGGATAATAAACTGTCTGAAGTGAGAAAAAAGTCTAGTCTGGCCTGCTTAATAGGATTTTTTCTTCGCCAAGTATATCTCTTAATATCTGGATGAAGTTCTCTAAAAATGTCTATAAGATTGTATGTCTCACTGATTTCTAACACCTTCTCCCTAGCAGATGCATTGTTGATGTTTCTATATGAGTTATCATAATCAAGCTCAGGGTTAATCACGAGGTTAAAATCGCCACAGACTATTATATTTTCATTTCCAAAGCTGTCAATAGTTTCCGAAATCTGAGTATAAAAAATTGGATTATCCTGATTAGGCCCATAAATGGTTATAAGTGTCAATCTACTACCCTCAATATCAATATCAATCCCTAAAAAATTTCCATCTAAATCACGTTTTTCTCTATAAACTTTACTTTCAAAATTATTATTGAGTAAGATTGCTACACCACGAGAATTTGATGAGAAAGAACTGAAAAAACTGTGATACCCCCATTCATTTCTAATTAAATTTTCTTGTTCTGTTGAAAAATGAGTGTCTTGTAAACAGTAGATGTGGTATTTCTTGTCTCTTAAGTATGAGAAAACATCCTTCCTCTTAATTTTATCACCAAGACCCTGACAGTTCACCGAGAGTACACAGATATCATCCATAACTGAGAAATTGAATGAATGCGTAAGAGCAGCCTTCCAGCTGGGAAATAGGAAACAAGACAAAGGGAGAAGAAATGGGGAT